TTTAGGGCAATAGTAGGATGGAGAACACCTCAGAGAGTAAGTCAACTTAGGAAGAGATAGGTATCTTGTGAGGAGAAAGAGAGCATCATGGGCATCAATCTTGTCAATCCTATCCAGCATTCACCTTAGATCAGTGACTTTTGCATCCATGGCCTTCACGATTGCTCGCAGGCCAATTGGGTACCCATGAGGGTGCAGTCAGGTAGCTCAATAACGAGAATGTCTCGAAAGTCATTTTTTATTTGGCCAGTGATGTCTGGGTTGTGGGAAACTATGTCGCATTTGGATGCATTGAAAATGAGGCCCAAGGTTGCTCCTTGCTCCTGGATTTTCCTTATATCCTCCAAAATGGTATCTGGGGTGCCGGCGAGTCCCATCATCCAGGTGCCAAATGTTTAACTCGCTTGTCAGACTATCAGTGATCTCTTTAATAGCTAAGCAGAAAAGGAGGGGGGCTAGGGATCACCTTGTAGGACACCTTCACAGGAGTCTATAACATGCTCCCCAAATAGAACCTTAGAGTCCCCACTGTAGCATGATCGGATGAATGGGTAAAGGGGACGGAAATGGTTGTGTACAGCCCTGAGGACAGCATCTCTTCTGACTTGACTGAAGGCATTTTTAAAGTCAAGCTTTACTGGCACCTTCTGGTCCAAGGGATCAGCAGCAGAAGCCCATGCTGCATGTGCTACAGCTTCAGATCCTAGAGGGATCCGAAACCCAAGCTGATTAGGTTTCAGCAAAGAGGCTGCTTCCTGGCTGATAGATCTCACTGCAGCCTTAGCTACGATGAGTCGGAGGGTGTTGCCAATGGCAATAGGCTTGATTCCCCCTATCTTTCTTCTTTAGAGCACAGAGTGCTGCTCCATAAAAGAGAGGCCCGATGTTCTCAGTGACACCGCCAGCCAAACACAGATTGAAGAATCTGGTAAGTTCCACTAGCAGGTCCTTTGCGGCATCTCCAAGCACGGGGTTCAGCATTTTTTTTTTGTGTGTATATATATGTAATTAGAAAGGTTCGTCAATGCGTGCCTGGCTGGTGATATACCTGAGGTCATCAGGACCCTCTTTTGGTGCCTCCCTCTGTGCTCTCAACAAGGATGAGGGAATCAGGCCAATCGCTGTTGGCAACACTCTTGGACGCCTGGTTGCCAAGGCTGCTATGAGGGTTGTCAGCCAGCAGGTGGCTAAATTGCTGAAACCAATTCAGCTAGGATTTGGGGTCTCCAAGGCTGTGAAGCAGCTGCTCATGCAGCATGAACATGCATCACCAACATTTCTAACAAAAATGCCCTGCTCAACCTGAACTTTAAGAATGTCTTTAACATGGTCAGAAGAGAAGCAGTGCTCTGTGTCGTACATCACCATTCAACCCGTTCTCACAAATTTAATAAGTCAATATTGACTTATTAAATATGTGCATAGGTGACATACTTAACATAATAGTTTCCCTTGAAAAGCTTCATAGGAAACACCGACCTTACCTAACCTACTTAGTATGTTAAGATAAGCATCTTATTGCTTCGTAATTACAATTATTACCTAACCTATAATAGGTATAGGTTAAGTAATAATTGTAATTACGAAGCAATAAGATGCTTATCTTAAGATACTAACAAGGTTAGGTAAGGTCGGTGTTTTCTATGAATCTTTTTAAGGGTATCTATTATGTTTAGTATATCACCTATGCACGTAGTTAATAAGTCAATATTGACTTTACGAATTTGCGAGAACGGGTTGCACCATTTCCGGCCCTTCTACCAATTCATACTATCTTGCTACAGTGGTGGATCAAAATTGCTCTGTGGCAAACACGAAATCAGATCATGTGAAGGTGTTCAGCAAGGTGATCCTTCAGCTCCTCTATTTTCTGCTTAGTCTTAAAAGAAATCACTGAAAGCTTGTCCAGCATGTTCAACATCTGGTTTTTGGATGATGGCACTATAGCTGGCCCCCTAGACCACCTCCTGGAAGACATCAGAAAAATAAAGGTGCAAGAAGTAAGCCTGGGTCTCTTCCTGAATCTTTCCAAGTGTGAAGTAGTCTCCTCCAATCCAGACATCATAGCTAGTCTGCCTTGCCCAGAGCCCATGTTATTACGGCTGTGAACAGCACTTTCCTTGGAGCCCCCCTCGGGTCTCACACCATTGAGATCCTTGGTAAGAAAATCACAGACCTCAGGAGGATGGAAAACATGATAGGTGACATCGATACCCACGATACTTTTTATCTCCTTACTAAATGCCTATCCCTTCCGAGGCTAACCTACTTTCTGAGGTGCGCCCCATCCTATGACACCCTAAAGTTTAAAGAGTATGACCTATTACTGAAGACCATGCTAGAAAAAGTTGTCAACCTCTCCTTCAATGAATGCCAGTGGAAACAAGCCACTCTTCCTGTCAGGTTCGACGGCTTGGGTGCACGCACTGCCACCAAAATTGCTGTCCCAGCCATCCTGTCTTCCTCCTCAGCATCAGATGAGATGGTTAAGGAAATTCTATCTGACAACCTGTGTGACTTAGCAGGGATACAGGACTCCCACTACACAGAATGTGGCACAAATGGGATACCATGACAGACCCCAGCACTCAGACCAACCATGTTGAAAGCCAAGAAACAATCCAGCTGGGACAGCCCCATTGTAAACAAAGAAGCCACAGCTTTGTTGGAGGCAGCAACATCCCCGTGATCGTGCATGCCTCACAGCTGTGCAGGCTCTCCATGAAAGGGAACTTCCTTTTGGCAGTCCCCTATGTGTGTGACAGGCACATGTCTTGATCCACAGCAGCTCCGTATTGCCGTCGCTCTCTGCCTTGCTGCTCCTGTCCACACTGTTCATAGCTGTATTTGTGGCAAGGCAGAGGCATATGGATTGCATGGCCTGCACTGTGGAAAATCTGGTGGTTAGCACTCTATACATGACAAAGCTAATGACATCATTAAAAGGACCCTTGCCTCTGCCCAGTGTCCAGCAGAGAGCGAGCCCCGCAATCTATTAAACTGTAACTCGGTTATCTTTGCCGGCCTACCAGATGGAATCACACTGCTCCCTTGGAAGGTTGGCAGACAGTTTGTCTGGGACTACACTTGCGTATCCACCCTGGCAACCCCATACATCACCCTCTCTGTCGGCTGGCCAAGCAGGAGTCGCAGTGACACAGAGAAAGACAAGTAAACCAAGTACAGGGAAATAGATTACTGGTGCAACTTCGTTCCAATAGGATCTGAGACCCTAGGTCCAGGGTTCATTAGCAAAGTTTTTGATGCAGATGTTGTATACACAGATTTTGCAAAGGCATTCAACAAATGTGACCATGGAGTGATTGCACACAAAATGAGATCAATGGGTATAACTGGTAAAGTAGAACGCTGGATACTCAATTTCCTGTCAAACAGAACACAAAGAGTAACAGTCAATCAAGTAAAATCGAGTCCGAGCGCAGTTAAAAGCTCTGTACCTCAAGATACAGTCCTTGCACCACTGCTATTCCTTATTCTCATATCAGATATAGACAAAAATACAAGTCACAGCTTCGTGTCATCCTTTGCAGATACAAAAATCAGCATGAAAATTACCTCTGCTGAAGACATTGAGAAACTACAAACAGACATTAACAAAGTTTTCGATTGGGCAGCAGAAAATAACATGTTTAATGGTGATAAATTCCAGGTACTCAGATACAGCAAAATGAGGATCTGAAACATAATACAGGGTACAAAACACAATCGAATCTGCCCATAGTAGGAAAACAGCATGTCAAGGATTTGGGAATAATGATGTCCGACGACCTAACGTTTAGGGAGCATAACCAGGACTGCGTCCTGGTTATGTGTCAGCCAGAAAATGATAGGATGGATTACGAGAACCTTCAAGTCCAGAGATCCCATCACAATGGTTGTATTCTTGAAATCACTTGTGTTGTCCCGTCTTGAGTACTGCTCAGTACTCACTTTCCCCTTCAGAGCAGGAGAGATTGCTGAAATAGAGGGAATACAGAGAACATATACGGCACGCATAGACGAGATAAAGCACCTAAATTATTGGGATCGTCTCAAAGCTCTCCAAATGTACTCACTAGAAAGGAAACAAGAGAGATACCAAATAGTGTAATATACATGTGGAAGATACTGGAGGGCCAGGTCTCAAATCTGCACAGTAAAATAACAACGTACTGGAGTGAACGATATGGAAAACAATGCAGAATAGAACCAGTGAAGAGCAGGGATACCATAGGCACAATCAGAGAACACTGTATAAACATCAGAGGTCCGCGGTTGTTCAACATCCTCCCAGCAACTATAAGAAATATTGCCGGAACAACCGTGGACATCTTCAAGAGAAAACTAGATTGTTTTCTTCAAGGAGTGCCGGACCAACCGGGCTGTGATGGATATGTGGGCCTGCAGGCCGCTCCAAGCAACAGCCTGGTGGACCAAACTCTCACAAGTCAGGTGAGAGTTTGGTCCACCCTACTCCCCAGGTTTTGGGGAGTAGAAGAACTCCCAGAACCTCATCAACCAGGTATCAACCAGGTCCATGGGAAGAGAGTACATGAAGGTTTCTTAATGATCTTGGTTCCAGGCTCATTGACACTACACGAGAGACCCTAGAGCAGCAAGTTTTCTTTTCCAGCACCTCAGTGTAGCAATCCAGAGGGAGAATGCCCGCTGCATCCTTGGTTCTGCCCAGCGTCGAACGAGTTCAATGGGGTGGTAGGAGAAGTGAACGCGTATTCAGAGCTATATGGAAGTATTTCTCTGAATTCTCTGTTTCCTTCTTCGAGGTTATCTGTCCCTACAATTGCACCAGAGGTAATTTTTTATTGCATTTGGTTCTAAAATATCAATGTTACAAAGCTTAAAAAGAATATCAAAGCAGATCTAAATTTTCAACATTACAAACAAATATTTGACATGTACAGTACAGGCAGCATAAGATAGCACAGTATGGTCCAAAAATTGTAGCCATAATGCAGTTTCGTGAGCAAGACTCTACTGACCTTAAACTTATTAAGACCAGGACTGGGAGGAGGAGAGGACATACTACCACCATCAGAGAGAACTCGCAGCCACTCGGGGCCAAACTTCAGAGCCGTTTCTGCCATATTTATTTTTTTTCTCCAAACTGCTTGGGGGTTGACCACTCACTTTACAGCTGGAAAATGAGAACAAATTACTTGTATTAACTAAATATGTTGTTCCAAAGTTATTGACGTATCCTCAGTTCCTTTAACCCTTAAACTGCCCCATTGTTCTCAAGTGATAGATGCCTGTGCCTCAATCACTTCTCGGAGACTAGATGTGTCTTGTAATATTCAAATGTCCCGCCAATTCCACGTGGATGTCATTTGACACCAGAGACCTCTGGTAATTGTTTGTCATAATAGAACAAAAAAAATCCTGACTGCCTTTGTTTCATTCCTGGGCTTTCAAGGTAAACAGATGCTTACCTATCAGTAATTATAGGGGAATGAGATCTAGCACTTTACTACTTATCCCTTTGCTCTTCACTAATTACCCCTCTCAATATTATCATTATATTTCTTTTTGAAGTTGTGGATGGAATTGGCTTCAACAACCTCGTCCTTCATTGCATTCCACTTGCATACAGGGAACAAGAACTTCCTTACATCTTACTCTATTATTATTGTAACTCGGCTAGTGGAAGATAATCTCTCGAAAGAGGAGACGTAAGAACAAAGGTAACTGCAGAAGGCCTATTGGCCCATACGAGGCAGCTCCTATCTATAACCACCCAATCCCACTCATATACATGTCCAACCCGTGCTTGAAACAATCGAGGGACCCCACTTCCACCACGTTAAGCGGTAATTGGTTCCACAAATTAACAACTCTGTTACCGAACCAGTATTTACCCAAGTCTTTCCTAAATCTAAATTTATCCAATTTATACCCATTGTTTCGTGTTCTGTCTTGTGTTGATACTTTTAATACCCTAATAATATCCCTTTTGTTGTGTCCATTCATCCACTTGTAAACCTCTATCATGTCACCCCTAACTCTTCGCCTTTCCAGTGAATGCAATTTAAGCTTTGTTAATCTTTCTTCGTATGAAAGATTTCTAATTTGGGGAATTAACTTAGTCATCCTACGCTGGACATGTTCAAGTGAATTTATATCCATTCTATAGTACGGCGACCAAAACTGAACTGCATAATCTAAATGGGGCCTAACCAGAGCATGATATAGCTGAAGAACCACACCAGGTGTCTTGTTGCTAACGCTTCGATTAATAAATCCCAGTGTCCTATTTGCCTTATTACGAACAGTCATGAATTGATCCTTTTGTTTTAAATTCTTACTAATCATAACTCCCAGATCCCTTTCGCAATCCGACTTCGCAATCTCAACACCATCTAGCTCGTATCTTGTAACTCTTATCATCATTACCTAGCCTCAGAACTTTACATTTATCAGCATTAAGCTGCATCTGCCACTCTTTTGACCATTTCAAAACCCTATTTAGATCAACTTGAAGTGATAGCGAGTCTTCTTCCGTGTTAATTTCCCTACCGATTTTTGTATCATCTGCAAATTTGCAGATGTTGCTACTCAAACCTGAATCTAAATCATTTATATATATTATAAACAACAGAGGTCCCAGGACAGAGCCTTGAGGCACTCCACTAACAACATTATCCCACTCTGACTTAACCCCATTTATACTAACTCTGTTTCCTTTGGAATAGCCATGCCCTAATCCAACTTAATATAGCACCCCCAATACCATGAGCCTCTATTTTTTTTAATCAGTCTTTCATGTGGCACTGTATCAAAAGCTTTGCTAAAGTCAAGGTACACAACATCACAATCCTTACCACTATCAACTGCCTCAACTATGCTGGAATAAAAAGATAGCAAATTTGTTAAACATGAACGGCCATTTGTAAAACCATGTTGCGACTCGTTTATTAATTTATGTTTTCAAGATGAAGACGAATTTGTATTTGCAATTATCGATTCAAGTAACTTTCCTACAATAGACGTTAGGCTAATTGGCCGATAGTTTGACGCAAGTGATCTATCTCCTTTCTTAAAAACTGGTACCACATTAGCTACCTTCCATGACTCTGGCACTCTACCTAACTCTATTGATTTATTAAATATGGTAGACAGTGGCTCGGAAAGCTCCTCTTTGCATTCTTTAAGCACCCTGGCAAACACTTCATCCGGCCCTGGGGATTTGTTTGTTTTAGTTTTACTATTTGTTTAATTACATCCTCCCTGGTAACTGCTAAACTAGTCAACCTTTCCTCGTCCCCACCCACATACAGTATATTTGTTCGGCTGAAGGCATATTGTTAAGTTCCTCTTTAGTAAATACAGGTATAAAATATTTATTAATCAGGAACGGATTAATTCATTTCCCTTTATTTCTTATGGGGAAATTAACTTCGGAATGCGAGTTTTCGGAAGGCGAGGCGTCTCCAGGAACGGATTAAACTCTTATTCTGAGGTATGCCTGTACTACTCAACTCCTCATCATTATCCGTTATTTGACAGGTCACAGTTTTTAATGGACCTATCCTTTCCCTAGTCTTAGTTCGATATAACTGAAAAAAACCTTTAGGATTTGTCTTCGCTTGCCCTACTATGCGAACTTCGTAGTTTCTTTTTGCTTTCCTTATCTCTTTTTTAACATTTCTAACCAGTTGTACGAATTCCTGTTCTAAACTAACTTCCTTATTCTTAATCCTTTTGTACCACGCTCTCTTTTTACCTATAAGGTTCTTCAGATCCTTTGTTATCCACTTTGGATCATTAGTATTCGATCTATTCAATTTATATGGTATACTACGTTCCTGGGCTTTGCTTAGAATATTTTTAAATAAGTTATATTTTGATCCTACATTGAATTCCCCTTTTCCGTCACCTGTCGCTGGGTTCATGTCTAGCCCACACCCCATCTCCAAGACATTCCAATCTATTTGACCCAAAAAATTTCTTAGGCTATTGAAATCAGCTTTTCGAAAATCAGGCACTAACAGAATTTTCTCCTACAGATCTATTCCATTCTATGCTAAATCTGATTTCTTTATGATCACTGTTCCCTAGCTCACTCCCTATTTCCATGTCCTTAATTTGTGTTTCCCTGTTAGTTAACACTAAATCTAAAATATTACTTCCCTTCGTTGGTTCCTTTATATGTTGCGTAAGAAAGCAATCGTCAATTAATTCTAGAAAATCTTCTGCTTCATTATTCCCTGTTTTGTTCACCCAGTTTATTCCACTAAAATTAAAGTCACCCATGACATAAATACTGTTAGATCTAGATGCTCTAGATATTTCATCTCATAGATGCTTTGCTTCCATTCTGTCTAAATTTGGTGGCCTCCTATTATATTATTGGCTTTTTCGTTTAATTCTATCCAAATAGTTTCTGTGTGTGACTCAGTTTTGATTCCCTCTTTGAGACTACATTTCAAATTGTCCCCGACATATATGGCTACTCCCCCTCCTCGTTTAATATATCTGTGTGAAATAGTTTAAATCCATGTATTTGATATTCAGCTAATAGTTCTCTATTTTCTACATTCATCCACGTTTCAGTAAGTGCAATAATATCTATTTTTTCTGTACAGACAAGAGCATTTAACTCTTTTATTTTGTTTCTTAGACTTCTACTGTTAGTGTAATATACCCTAAGTGAATTGTTATTTTGAGGCCCTTCTCTTTCCCTGATCATTTTGCCAATTCCTTTCTCCCACAAACACATACTTTTATTACCTCCTTCCTCCCTATCAATTCCCATACCATTATCTACTAACAGTTTATAATATTGTCCTATAATACAGTACAGGTATAACAAGATAATTAAGTAGTACTGTACTAAATTCATGTTAACATCTATAATCCACTTTATTATGAACATATTACACATGTTTATACCACTGTAATTATGTGGGAAATGGGTAAAATACCCATTGTCTGGAGACTGACTCCTAGTGTCTAAACACCTGGCAAACAACAAAAGTTCAGATGCCCAGATTTCTTTCAATCCCAATACTGTATCTCTATCTATATATATTTGTATACTTGGGTAGCAGACGTTCCTTTAAGCATATTTGGTTAAATATGACCACATTGCTGGCATTGTTGATCTCTTCTGCCCACCACCTTACCCAATGTTAGATGACATACCTTCCCCATTATTCCCCTATTTGTTACCTCATGTTTGATTACCCCTATATTCCTTCAACCCTTCACCTCACCCCACACAACTTCACCTCTTCCACATGTATATTTAGGATAAATTTGCACCTTATGTATTCATTTCTTACCTGAAGATGTTCCAGAGTGGAACCAGTTGTTGTACAAAATAAACCCTTCAATAATCATTAGTTTCTTTACCATAACTTTTGGAGTTTCTAGAGTTTTGATAACTTAATTTCTCTTTTTAATCCTGAGGGTAAGAAAATAAGAGGGATAGGAAACAGGTGCTATAAGATCAACAATGCCAGCAATGCAGTCATTTTACTAAGCCAGCAGCTTGTCAAATGTCCCCCCCCCCATTTGTCGTGATGACTTTTTCAAGCTGGACTTGAAAGTTCAACAGAGTTTTGGCATTTACAGCTTTGACGCGTAGGCAGTTCCATGGATTTATAACCCTGTGGGTTATAACCTACCTGCATTGGGGCTTGCTGGACTTGAAACTATTGCTCCTCGCTTGTGTTGTATCTGACATTTTGAGAAAGTGGTCTGGATCACCACCTACCAAATTATTAAACATTTTAAGTTTCAATGAGATCAGCCCTGTCAAGTCAGTTTTGCAGTGTATTTAGCCCTGTGGCCCTCAACTGTTCCTGGTACGAGTTGACTTGGCTCTGGAATGAATTTTGTTGCCCAGTTTTGAACTTTCTCCAAAGATGCTGTCTTTCTAAAGATGAGGTCTCCATGCTTCAATACAATACTCCAAGTGTGGGTGCACCAGAGATTTATACAAATGAACAACTACATTCTTTTCCTTAAAAGTCAAAGGTACACTTGATTATGCCTAGGGTTTCGTTAGCTTTTTTTACTGCTGCTCCCACTTGCTGTGCAACTTTCTGTGAATAATGGATTCCAACTCCAAGGTTCTTTTCTTCATCAATCTGCTGCAAGGTAATGGTAATTTAGTAGGTGATGTGGGTTGTTATGCCCCACATGCAAGGTCTTGCACTTTTCAAAGTTAAAAGAAGTTGCCAATCTTCTCATCATTTGTAGTTAATTTTATTTATACAGTACATACTGTACAAAAGAGTTCTTACATTCTTGTAAAGCCACTAGCGCGCACAGCATTTTGGGCAGGTCCTTGATCTTAATTTTCCGTGGAATACAACCCGCCAAATCGTTTAAGTAGGTACCCACTCACTACTGGGTGAACAGAGGTGTACAGTTAAGGATTGGCACTTAGTCAATCCTCCCTGACGAGGATACGAACCAAGGCGAAATCGGTTGTGAAGCACAGGGCAAGTGTCTTACCACTGCACTTCGGGAACTGCGCAGTTCTCTTTGTAAGGCCCTCAATATAATATTTTTTCACTTGTACTACAACTTTCGAGATGCAGTAAACCTTAAACATGTACAGTATTTATATATTTTTTTTAATTTTCCTTACTTTTTGAATGACAGCAGCAATAGTCTCTTTGATGATAGCTTCATGCCAAGCATTAAAGATAGCTATTCCATTTGCCTCTATGATACTGACCAGCAACAAATTCCACTCATCAACTGTGTTGCCAAAACAAAGTTTCAACATTTTTCTTTATGAATCTAAATTTCTCCAGCTTATATCCATTATTATGGGTTCTGACCTGGTCTTATAATTTTAAGATACAGGTATCAAACATGTTTCCCCCTCGCACTTTGCCTCTCCAGGGAATACAGGTCAAGCTCCTTTAACCTCTACTCATACAGGGGATACAAAATAACGTGGATAAATCTGATTACACTAGATTTTCTTGAGAAAACCAATGTCTACTCTAATAGTGACCAAAAATGGATGGCAGTGTAAGTGATGTCTCACCAGGGCCAAATACTGTATAAATGAAGGATGATTATTGTGCCTTTATTGCATTATATTTGCTCTGTTGGGTACATTCATACACTACTGCCTAGATCTCGGGTCACTGCCTAGCATGACACCCAAGTCTTTATACTGTAACTAATTGACCCAAATCTCCAACATGCATTTGGTTGATCAGCCTTGTCATTTCCCAAGTTCAGGACTTGGGTGTTTATTTATTTATTTACTGTACTTGTATACAAGGTACACTGGGCTGTGAGTACCTAACATTGGTGTTCTTAAATTCTTTCCACGCCACTAACACATATAGCTTTTCAGGCAGAACTTATCAGTGTTGAATTTCACCTGCCACTCTTCTTGCACCCTTTTGCAATGCTGAGAGATGTTTCTTAAGTTATGCAGGGTCCTCATTTCAATTTTCTATTTGCCCCAGTTTCATGTCATCCACAAACATGCTAATAGTACAGTACTATTCACTGAGACAGCCAGGTCATCAACATATAAGTAACAAAGGCCCTAATACAAACCCCTGGGGTACACCACTAGTGACATTTCTTCACTCTGAATTCACTCAATTGATGTTAACTACTGTATTTCCTATCCTTCAATCAAGCAATAATCAAATTGAGAATTTTCCTTGTAATTCCTTGGAACTCAACTTTTCTGATCAGGCCTCAGGTGGGTTATGGAGTCAAAAGCTTTACTAAGGTCAAGATAAACATCATAATTATTACTGCTGTCAACTCTCTTAAATATGGGTGAATAAAATGATAGCAGATTTATAAGATGTAGTTCTACCAAGAAACCATGCTATCAGAATGTCAAGAAAATATTTTGTTATATTAAGCACATGAGGGTAATGTGAGCAGCAGAGCTCACCAGGAGAGCAACTGGAGATCACTTCAGCCAACCACCCCACAATTCAACATGATAATTGCTTTACTTGTGTGTGTATAATCTCTTTGCTTTACAAATTACTCAACAGGAAAATATAAATGTTTACTTTCGTTGTACAGCTATAGTATATAAATTTATCAAGTGCACGCATTTACAAACAAAAATTATTTATGAAAAATAAATGTGTTGAATGAAATGATCATTAAACATTTATAAATTGAGCACCACCATGCATAATATTGTGATGGCTGGATCTGACCATAACACTACCTTGCCTCCTCACCCCACTCATAAATGTGGCTAAATAATGGCATTTTCTGAGGTTTTAGTTGCCCAATCCACAACACAGCAAGATTACCCATAATAATTAAATGTTACCAAAGTGATAAATATTCAAGACTACAGTTATCAAATGCTGATTGCTTATTGTGCTGTACTGCCTGTAGCAAGATGGACAATTAAAACCTGTGGATCATCAGGGCCTCTACTGCATGGGGTAAAGTAATTTCATACATTGTCAACTTGTGCATCATAGGCTGCATATAATGTAAACTATTTTACAGTGTAACTAGCTATCATCAAAAGGAAAAGCCATTGTGTTCACTGCAATATGGTCAAATACTGTGCCTACTAACATAAAAATCTGTCAGTATTTGACTTGGAGCTTCGGCTGGAGGATTTAATCTCTGCCACACACACACATAAACACCTGGGTAAACAAGGATAAACTATTCAACACTGGTGGTACATGAACAAGGGGACACAGGTGGAAACTGAGTACCCACATGAGCCACAGAGACATTAGAAAGAACTTTTTCAGTGTCATAGTAGTTAACGGATGGAATGCATTAGGCAGTGATGTGGTGGAGGCTGACTCCATACACAGTTTCAAAGGTAGATATGATAGAGCCCAGTAGGCTCAGGAATCTGTACACCAGTTGATTGACAGTTGAGAGGCAGGACCAAAGAGCCAAAGCTCAACCCTCACAAGCACAAATAAGTGAGTACACACACTTTTGTATTTAATCCAGTGTTAGCTTTTCACCTCACCAGCCTGTATCTAAATGGCACAACACCCCCCCCCCCCCCCTACAGTCTGTATATTTCTGTATATTGACTTCTTTTCTAAAAAATCCATAAAGACTTTCTTCTGTATTCCCATCCTGAACCAGAACTCCTATGGGCATCTATGAAGGAAGTGTAGGGCAGCATAGTGAAACACGAAGTATCACCCACCACCATCCACGTACAAGTAAACCAAACTAGCAGTTACTTGACCTACTATTAGCACAAGTCATTTTCACGTGGAAAAATACTGAGGATTGAACCACTTCCTGAAGCAAGTGGGACTTGACAAAGAAACATGGGTAGATGTCCTCGTGTCACTTGCTAGGTAAGGCAGATTATTTAGCAACCTCCGCCTTATTCAAAACATTTCATCGTTAAATTATGTCAGAAAGACATCTATTTACTAATAGACAAACTCTAAGCTAGAACGATACTTTCGTGTCCTGTTGGAGCCGTACATTTGACCATATTGTTTCGTTTTTGGTAAAAACTAACTAGTAGTTCACTTTACAACAGCAATGACGTCCAAGGCAATATTTCCCTCCGCCTTAAAACACTTGAGGCAGAGGCCATGACACCTTGTGTTGGGAGCTTTCACGAACCAAAACAATGTATGTGGAAGCTGGTCTGGTGTGTGAACGTGTGCCACAATATTTACACTTTTTCCCCGCCATTCTCGCCCATCTTGCTCGTTAAAATACACACAAACTCACACAACACAAAATGCTAGCTTATATAACTAATGTCAAGCTAAATTAATCAGAGGGTGTCATGTTACCAGTAAAAACAATTTCACTGGAGGAGAATTCACACTGAGATAGACCAAGATGGCCGAACTTTACCTGCGCATGCGCGGCTGGCGGGAGTTCATGACGTAAATAAAGGAACACGTGAGTCTCCCGCCGCGTACCTCCTCCACCACCAATATACCTAATAAATAAATAAATAAATGTTTATTCGGGTAAGGTACATACATACAAGAGATTTTTACAAAAATTGATAGGTTTATAGATAGAGCTAGTACAAACAATGCCTAAAGCCACTATTACGTAAAGCGTTTCGGGCAGAAACAAATAACCTTATTTATTTATATTTATATTGATGTGACGACTTATATTGAATTTTGTAACTAGCTCATCAAGATTGTAACTTGCTCAGCTAAATGAATTGTGGGGTTCAGTCCCTGAGCCCATTATGTGCCTCTGTAACCCTTTCCACTACCCCCCACAAGATGGGTATGGGGTGCATAATAAATGAACTAAACTAAAAAACTAACTTTTATTTATATATATATATACAAGAAGGTATATTGGGATTGTGAGGATACATAGCATAGTAATTACATTCTTGTAAAGCCACTAGTACGCGCAGCGTTTCGGGCAGGTCCTTAATCTAAGAAACTTATAAGTACAAACTTGCAAAATTGACCTCATAATACCATTTAAAATTTTCCGGAATTTACCTGAAAGCCACCTTCTTTCTAGTGGCCTCGACGAGGACAGTAAGCCTGCGGCTTGTCAAAAGGTTTTCCTTCCGCCTCTCCCCTGCCAATTATTGTGCCTGATAATTTTTTCCAACTGAATTTTGCGAGTGGCTGTGAGAATTCATAATAAATCTTCATAATGTTTCAGATTTGATCTCCCATTCATGCCATTTTGAACATAATAAATGTATCGAACAAGTGGCATAAAATTACTGATTACTGCTGATCGAAGTTTTATTGTTAGTCTTTAACAAAATATGCCATTTTTTTTTTACCTGATTTACCTGAGGGTCACTAACCCTAGTGGCTTCGGCGAGGACAGGAAGTTGGCGGCTTGTCGAAGGTCCCCCACCCATTTGCCTTGATAATCTTTTCCAGGTATGTTTTGAAATTCAGCACAGATTTGGCAGTTACGGCTTCGACGGGTAGCCGGTTCCAAGGGTTAATAATCCTGTGGGTGAAAAAGCACCTCCAGTTCTCAGTCCTACATTGTGACTTGTTGAGCTTGAAACCGTTGCTCCTTGTTTATGTTACCTCTGACCTTCTGAAGAATATATCCGATCAACATCTTCTAACTTGTTCAGTATTTTAAAAGTTTCAATGATATCCGCCCTGTCTTCTTAGCTCTGGAAGGGCTTTTGTTGCCCGGTCTTGCACCTTCTCCAGAGCAGCTATGTCCTTCTGAAAATGAGGTCTCCATGCTTATAATAATTATAATTTTTTATTTAGGTAAGGTACATACATACAATAAATTTTTACAAAGATTGGTTGACTTATAGGTAGAGCTAGTACATACAATGCCTAAAGCCACTATTACGCAAAGCGTTTCGTGCATGATAAACTTAAATGACAAGCTTAATACTAATTGAGCATAATAAGTAGAATTAAAACAAGAAATGAAAACATAGATGAAAAAGCAGCACAAATACAATTATGTCAACAAACAGCGCTCTTAAAAAAACAGACATTGGTTGACAATAGAAGGGTAAGGTAAGTTACAGGGAATTTATTAGGTATAGCTTTGTTTTTGACTTAAACTGGTTGAGAGAGGTACAGTCTTTAACATGGTTGGGAAGGTCATTCCACATTCTGGGCCCCTTGATTTGTAGAGCATTTCTAGTTTGATTAAGTCGTACTCTAGGAATATCAAAACTGTATTTATTTCTGGTGTGGTGCTCATGGGTTCTGTTACATCCTTCTATGAAGCTTTTGAGATCAGGATTTGCATTATAGTTTAGCGTTTTATATATGTATAATACAAATGGCAAATGTCGTGCCGATCTTCAAGAAAGGAGATAGGGAGGAGGCACTTAACTGCAGACCTGTATCACTGACAAGCATCCCCTGTAAAATACTGGAAAGAATAATTAGGCTACGACTGGTTGCACACCTGGAGAACATTAGGTTTGTGAACAAACATCAACATGGGTTCTGGACAGGGAAATCGTGCCTAACAAACCTTCTGGAATTCTATGATAAAATAACGAGGATAAGACAGGACAGAGATGGTTGGGCAAACTGCATATTTCTGGACTGCCAAAAAGCCTTTGATACAGTACCGCACATGAGACTGCTGTTCAAGCTCGAGAGGCAGGCGGGGGTGGGGGGAAAGGTCCTAGAATGGATAAGGAACTACCTAACAGGAAGGAGCCAAAGAGTTACGGTAAGGGGCGAGAAGTCGGACTGGCGAACAGTAACAAGTGGAGTACCACAAGGATCGGTGCTGGGACCAATTCTATTTCTTGTATATGTTAACGACATGTTTACAGGCGTAGAGTCCTACATGTCGATGTTTGCGGATGATGCAAAGTTGATGAGAAGAGTTGTGACAGATGAGGATTGCAGGATCCTCCAAGAGGACCTGAACAGATTGCAGAGATGGTCAGAGAAATGGCTACTAGAATTCAACGCGAGCAAATGTAAAGTTATGGAAATGGGACTAGGAGATAGGAGACCAAAGGGACAGTACACAATGAAGGGGAACAGCCTACCTGTAACGACGCGTGAAAGAGACCTGGGGGTGGACGTAACACCTAATCTATCTCCTGAGGCACATATTAATAGGATAACGACAGCAGCGTACTCTACACTGGCAAAAGTTAGAACATCATTCAGAAACCTAAGTAAGGAGGCATTTAGGGCGCTTTACACTGCCTACGTAAGGCCAGTCTTAGAGTATGCCGCCTCATCATGGAGTCCCCATCTGAAGAAGCATATAATGAAACTGGAAAAGGTTCAGAGGTTTGCAACGAGACTCGTCCCAGAGCTACGAGGGATGGGGTATGAAGAGTGCCTGAGGGAACTGTGCCTTACGACACTAGAAAAAAGAAGGGAGAGGGGGGACATGATAGGAACGTATAAGATACTCAGAGGAATTGACAGAGTGGACATAGACGAAATGTTCACACGGAATAGTAACAGAACGAGAGGACATGGATGGAAGCTTGAAACTCAGATGAGTCACAGAGATGTTAGGAAGTTTTCTTTTAGCGTGAGAGTAGTGGGGAAATGGAATGCACTTCAGGAACAGGTTGTGGAAGCAAATACTATTCATAATTTTAAAACCAGGTATGATAGGGAAATGGGACAGGAGTCATTGCTGTAAACAACCGATGCTCGAAAGGCGGGATCCAAGAGTCAATGCTCGATCCTGCAGACACAACTAGGTGAGTACAACTAGGTGAGTACACATGAGAGAATGTGCAGTGACTTAATATCTAACATATTCAGAGATTTGAGTAAGGGTACCGAGTGATGCCTGGGGCCAGAGTTGGATATTGTCCTAATAGCAGCTTTGTGTTGAGTAATTAGAGGACGTAAGTGATTTTGGGTAGTAGAGCCCCAAGCACAAATACCATAGTTGAGATATGGATAGATAAGGGAGTAATAGAGAGTCACCAGGGCAGGGCGTGGTACATAATATCTGATCTTAGAAAGAATGCCCACAGTTTTTGAAACTTTTTTTGATATATTTAGAATGTGTCCCTGGAAATTCAGCTTGTGGTCAATGAGAATGCCAAGGAATTTGCCATCTAATTTGTTACAAATTTGGGTATTGTTTATTTTGAGATTTATTTGATTAGAGGATTTATTGCCAAACAGAATATAGAAAGTTTTGTCAATGGGTGAGTTTGTTGGCAGTTAGCCAAAGATGGACTTTATTTAGCTCAGTATTTACTGTGGCATGGATACTGCTTGGATACAGTAATCTAAGTGGGGGCGTACCAGTTGAACCATTACCTTCTTTTCCTTATAGGCTAATATACTCTTAATTATCCCAAGAGTTTGGTGAGCTCTGACTCCAAGGTCCTTTTCTTCAGTCTGCTGTAATGGAATGTTATTAATTTGGTAGTCGTGGCGTGGGTTGTTATGCCCCACATGCACGGTCTTGCATTTGTCGATAATAAAAAGCATTTGCCAGTCTTCTGACCATTTATGGAGATCATGTAGATAAATAAATAAATAAATAAATATGTTTATTCAGGTAAGGTACATACATACAAGTGATGTTACATTAATGGATTGATATATAGATAGAGCTAGTACATACAATGCCTAAAGGCACTATTACGCAATGCGTTTCGGGCAAGAAAAACATTAATATCTAGAACTTAATACTAATTGAGCATAAAGAATAAAAAGTGTTGAGAACAAATACAAATAAAGATAAAAAAAAGGGGGAACATGACTGAAAAAGCAGCACAAATACAATAGGTTGATAAACAGTGTTGATTAAAAATAAAATAACAGACATGGGTTGACAATAAAGGAGTGAGGTGGGTTACAGGGAATTTATTAGGTAGTGTTTAGTTTTTATCTTAAACTGGTTGAGAGAGGTACAGTCTTTAACATGGTTGGGAAGGTCATTCCACATTCTGGGTCCCTTGATTTGTAGAGCATTTCTAGTTTGATTAAGTCGTACTCTAGGAATATCAAAACTGTATTTATTTCTGGTGTGGTGCTCATGGGTTCTGTTACAACCTTCAATGAAGCTTTTGAGGTCAGGATTGGCATTACAGTTCAGCGTTTTATATATGTATAATACACAAGAGAGAATGTGCAGTGACTTAATATCTAACATATTCAGAGATTTGAGTAAGGGTACCGAGTGCTGTCTGGGGCCAGAGTTGGATATTGTCCTAATAG